CACCTACCATGCTATTTTTCTCATTGTTCCATTTATTCTATATCCTCTATTTCCCTTTTTTGCCCTGTGATTTTTTTTCCGTGGTGTTTCTAGGGATCGAATTCATCTTGTTTATACTAGGCAAGAGCTCTGCCACTGAGCTGCACTCCTAACCCTCTCTATTCTTCTGGTGCTTCTTCCAGTGTAAATCTGTTTTTGATAATTTTTTTCAGCTTTATGTGCCTGAAAGAATGTATTTGCCTTTGTGTTCTCTCCCTCCCTCCCTCCCTTCCTTCCTCTTTCCAGTGCTAGGGATTGAACTCAGGGATACATGCTAGGCAAGTGCTATACCACGGAGCTACACCCCCAGCATAGCCTTTGTATTTTATTTCATTTGGCACTAGTGGGGACTGAATCCAGGGCCTCTTGCACACTAATCAAGTGCTCTACTACTGAGCAATACCCCTCAGCTTTTCCTTTTTTTTTTTTTGAAAAGGATAAAGCCTTTATTTAAAGCTAGCTCCAAAGAGATGGAGGGGCCTCATATTGCTCAAGACACCATCTCCTTGCTTTTGTCTTTTTAAAAAATTTATATATTAATTGGTACATTTTAGGTATACAATACATTTACACTTATCATTGGGTGTTTGTACCTGAACATGATGTATCTTAGTTCTTATTTTTTCCCCCATTACCTGTGCACCCTTCACCCCGACCACCCTTCCCTATTTACATAAACTTTGTTTCCATTTTTTTTTCTTTCTCATAATTTTTCCTTTCCCTTCTTCCCTTTCCCCTTCCCCTCCCGCCACCCCTAAACCTTTGGACCTTTTCCTATTTCAAATGATCAATTATTTGTTTTAATCATTTTCATCCTTATTTACACTTTCAGTTTCTCACACTAGAGAAACTATTCGGTATTTACACGTGTGTCCTATTTATTTCACTTAAGAGTATGGCCTCAATGTGCATCCATTTAGCTATAAATGACTCTAGTTTCTCATTCTTTATGGCTGAGTAGTACTCCATTTTATAAAAAAACCACATCTTCTTTATCCAGTTTCCAGTTGATGGGCACTTGGGCTGTTTCCAAACTTTAGCTATTACAAACTGTGTTGCTATAAACATAGGTGCACATATATCGCTGTGGTACGATTCTTTTAATTCTTTGGGGAAGATACGCAGTAGGGGAATAGCTGGGTCAAATGGGACCTCTAGTCCTAGTTCTTTGAGGTATCTCCATACGGATTTCCACAGTGGTTGCACCAGTCTGCATTCCCACCAACAATGGAGAAGGGTTCCTTTCTCTCCACACCCTTGCCAGCATTTGTTATTGGTTGATTTCTTGATAGCAGCCATTCTTTGTGGGGTGAGGTGGAATCTCAGTGTTGTTTTCATCTGCATCTCTCGAATGACCAGTGATGTTGAACATTTTTTCATATGTTTATTTGCTGTTTTTACTTCTTTGTCTGAGAAATGTCTGTTCATTTCAGGTGCCCATTTTTGAATTGGGTCTTTGAATTTGGGGGGTTTGATTTTTTTCAATTCTTTATATATTCTAGATAGTAGACCTTTGTCTGAGGTACAGCTGCTAAAAATTTCTTCCCATATTGTAGGTTGTCTCTTAGCTCTGTTGGTAGTTTCTCTTGCAGTGCAGAAGCTTTTTAATACGATGAGATCCCAGTTGTTGATTCTTTGTGTTAGCTCCCATGCTACTGAAGATTTGTTCATAAAGTCTTTTCCTATGCCAATGTCAATGAGAGTTCTACCTAACTTATGTTCCAACCTTGCTTTTGTTTTTATTAAAAATATTTTTGCTGAATGGCCAAAAATATTTTTTGCTGAGTATATAATTTTAGGTTGACATTTGTTGTTTTCATGCTTTAAAGATGTTACTCCTTCTAGGTGTGGTGGCGCATGCTTGTAATTCCAGCAGTCAGGAGGCTGAGGCAGGAGCATCAGTGTGAGTTCCAGGGCAGCCAAGCTACATAGCAAATTCAAGGCCAGCCTGAACTATACAGCCAAGACTCTGTCTCATACAAAACAAAACAAAATAACAAAAAAAGAGTCTAATAAAATGAAGATGTTACTCCAAGCTGGGCGCTGAGGGAGGAGGATTGCAGGTTTGAGCCCAGCCTAAGCAATTTAGTGATTTATAGAGACCCTATCTCAAAATTTAAAAAAATTTTAAAAAGAGCTGGAGATTTAGCTCAGTGTGAAGGACCCTTGCTAACAAGACAGACTCCATATTGCTGCTTGACCCACCTGCCTGCCCTTTAGATGAACTCAGAAGGAGGAAGCTTAAAAACCTCCTCCCCTTAGAGAATCTCTTAGAAACAACAATTAATCAACTATTCTTTTACAAATGTTCTAACAGCAGAACGTCTCGCTTCTGTACCTGTTGCTACACTCCCCTAACCGCCAATGTCTTGCTTCTGTACAGATGCTTGCCAAGTTCCCTCTTGCGACCCCTATAAAAGAGCCTCAGACTCTGAGCGGGGCACCTCTCTAAGCTTGGTGCTTGAGGGTGCCATCTGGCCAGACTAATAAAGGTCTGTTTTACTTTCACAACTCGTCCGGTGTGTTCCCTCCTGGGTGATCTTCGCTGTAGTCAGCTCCTCAGAGCGTTTGGTGAGGCCCACGGTCTTACAAGTGCAAAGGCCCTGGGTTCAATTTTCAGTACTATAAAAATATTCTGCATCTTATATATAACATAGAATATAGCACTTTAATCATTTTAACTGTTCAATGGCATTAAGTACATTTACAGAGTAATCTAATTACCAGCACTATTTCCAGCACCTTTTCATCATCCCAAATATAAACTCTGCAGCTGTTAACAATATATTATTTCACAGGCTGGGAATTTACCTTAGTGGTTCTGCTGCCTGCCCTACAGGCACAAGGACCCGAGAGTTTGATCCCCGGTACCAAAAAAAAAAAAAAAAAGATTCTCCTCAAAACAAAACAGGGCCAGGGATTTAGCTCAGTGGTTCTGCCGCCTGCCTTGCAAGCACAAGGTCCTGAGTTCAATCCCCAGTACCAAAAAAATATATACTATTTCAAAAAACAGACAAAAAACAAAATCCCAATACACTATTTTCCTTTACTTACAGGCAATGGAAATTTTTTTTCTACTTTCTATGAATTTACCTGTTTTAATTTTTTTTTTTTTTGAGACAGGATCTCACTATGTAGTTCAGACTGGCCTTGAACTCACTATGTAGCCCAAGCTGGCTTCAAATTCACAGTGATCCTCCTGCCTCTGCCCCCTGAGTGCTGGGGTTACAGGTGTGTGCCATCACACCTGGCTCTGTTTTAGATATTTTAAATAAGTAGAATCAATTATACATCTGTCCTCATGTCTAATTTATTTTACTTGGCACAATGTTTTCAGATTCATCTTTGCTATCACAGGCACTATCGTTATCATTCATTCATGGGGTTGGGGGGTAGCTAAGTGGTAGAGTGTTGGCACAAGGACTTGGGTTCAGTGCCCAACAAATAGAACAAGGCTGGGCATGGTGATACACATCTGTAATCCCTGCACTCCGGAGGTTTAGGCAGGAGGGTTGCTGGGACTTCAAAGCCAGCCTGGACTACATAGAGAGTTCAAGATCAGTGTAAAATACATAGCAAGACCCTGTCTCAAAAACAAAACAAACCAAAAAAGCCCCTTGTCATTCATTTTATTATTTTTATTATTATTATTATTTTGGTACTGCGGATCTAACTGGGGTTCTTCCGCTTGCGCAGCAGGCGACGAAACCACTGAGCTAAATCCCCACCTGTCATTCGTTTTAAAAGCTGAATAATTACATTGTGTGTGCGTGCGTGTGTGTGTGTGTGTGTGTGTGTGTGTGTGTGAGAGAGAGAGAGAGAGAAGGAGAGGGAGAGGGTCTCCTTATGTGGTTCAGGCTGGCTGCCCTCAAACTCACGATGATCCTGACTCAGTTTCCCAAGTGCTGGGATCACAGGAGTGGGCCACCACGCCCGGCTAATCACATTGATATGTGTAGTCCACATTTTGTTTCTCTATTTTTTGCAGATGGACGCTTGAATTTGTTCTGTTAATGGGTGGATTATTTTCAAATTTTGGTTTATTATGAATGAACACTTTGGACGTATGTTTTTATTTCTATTGGATAAATTTAGGAGTTCAGCGGCTGGATTTTATTGTGGGTATACATTTTATTTACTTAGGGTTTTTTGAGACACCTGGCCTCGAATTCACGAGTTTAAATACTCCTGCCTGAGGGTATGAATTTTGTGGGGGTTTTTTGTTTTGTTTTGTACCGTGGATCGAATTCGGGTCCTTGATATTGTGCAGCAGACGGCGAAACCACTGAGCTAAATCCCCGGCCTTAGGGGCTATGAATTTTGTAAGAAGGCCAAACCAATTTTCAGAGTGGGTCGGAAATCACAACGGATAAGTGTTCCAGGAACTCCCCCATTTCTACCTTGTTTAGTAGAGGTTCTAACTTACAGACTCCTGATAATGATGTTAAACATCCTCTTTATGTTTAAATTCTTTTTTTTTTTTTTTCCCGGTGCTGGGGATCAAACCCAGAACCTCTCACATTCTAGGCAAGCGCTCTGCACTGAGCTACACCCTCAACTCTATTTTTTTTTTTTTTTTTTGGTACCAGGGATCGAACTTCGGACCTTGCGCTTGCGCAGCAGGCGCCGGAACCACTGAGCTAAATCCCCAGCCCTCCCAACCCTTTTAAAAAAAATTTTTTTCCCAACCTTTTTTGAGGGGCTTGTTATGTAGACTATTTTTTGCGGTTTATATGGTCCAGTTTATGGTTATCCGTGTCTATGGTTTCACACAACTTAACCGACCAGCGCCTTACGGAAGTAGGCAGTCAGTACCGTTTGGATTCAGAACCTCATCAGTTACCCGGGGTGACCTGCGGCGAGCTCTAAGGCTCACACGGTGATTGGAGAAAGGAGAACTTCCGCAGGCTCTTCCGGCTCCTGGCCCTGAACATTGGTGACTGGCCGGCCTGGTCAAGCGCTAAGATTCCCGGGAGTTGTAGTTTTTGTAGCTCTGTTGGGGACGCCCGGAAGGGTTATTGTGGTTGGAGACTCCAAAAGGCGATAGCGCTTGTTAGCGATAGCTGGCACCATGTCCCGACTGTCGGTGCCCTGTCACGTGAAAGGCGCCGTAGCCCTGCAGGTGGGGGACATGCGGACTTTCCAAGGCCGGCCCGGTGTGGTGGTCATCGATGTCACCTTCCCTAGCATCGAGCCTTTTGAGGTGAGCAAGCCATCTGGGCGGGATGAAGCTCCTGGGCGGGGCAACGGGGAACTTGGGCGTTGTCCAGGAGTTTAATCTTTTACCTAAGCTTCTGCAGCGTCCCTGGGGAACTAGGTAACCATTCAGTTTATTTCTAAAGTAGTACCTACAGTATTTCCTAGAATTGCTCACCCTGTTCTGTTCTCTTCAACGTTGTGTCCCCACATTCCAGAATAGGACTGGCACGAAGGTCCCCGTAAGTAGGCTAGTTGGTGCTGGAAATAGAAATGTAAACTGAAGAGTGTGAGCGCTAAGCTTGGCCATAGCTGGAGACCATTGAACAATTTTTTACCTTAAACCAGCCTCCTCATTCCTACAGTCCCTGGCAGAGGTCAGAGTAGAACCTCCTTGGTTCTAGCATGGTGGTGCACACCTGTGATCTCAGCACTCCAAACGCTGAGGCAGGTGGATTGCTGCAAGTTCAGTAGGCTACCTAGTGAGTTCAAGGCCAACTAACAACTTTCCAGTGACTCCAGTTTTCAATCTCCAGTTGCACTTTTATATCAGCTGACAGACTAAGGACAAAACCTACTTCTAATGGCCTGGCCTTCAGTGCCACTCTGTGTCTGTCCCCCACCTGCCCTCTTGGCCTCATGCATTACAGTATGTAATTGTCTCCCAAAATGGTCCATATAGTCAAATGGAAAGCCTAATTAAAGGAACAGACCCATGGTGGGCATGGTGGTGCACACCTGTAATCCCAGCATTTGGGAGGCTGAGCCAAGAGGATCAAAGCAAGTTCAAGGCCAGCCTGAACTGCATAGTGAGTTCAAGCCCAGTCTGAACTACAAAGTGAGACCCTGTCTAAATGAAATAAAACAAAGCAACAACAAAAGAAGACCTAATCCAGGAAATTCTCAGTCAGTAGGTTTGAGGTGCAACTTAGACCCCTGTATTTGTATTTATATTTGTATTTATTTATTTTGATAGGGGGATCAAACTCGGGTCCTTGCACTTTCAAGGCAGGTGTCGGAACCACTGAGCTAAATCCCCAGCCCTGGACCCCTATGTTTTTTAAATCTTCCTGGGATAACTCTGATGTGTCTTCATTGATGAGAACCACTGCTATAACCAGGCTGAATTGCTCCCTGTTGTGTGCCAGGTTCTCTCACTCTGTAAACTTCTCTGTATATGATATTTTTACATTTCCACTAGGCAAACTTTCTTGGATCACTTAGACAAATTTTTCCTGGTTTAGGTCCCACGTCTACATTTTCTCTCTCCTCTGGGGTTAGGGCTATGACACTTTTTTCTTTTTTCTTTTGAGACAGGATCTCACTATGTGTTGTTTTTTTGTTTTCGGTACTGGGGATCGAACTCAGGACCTTGCTCTTGTGAGGCAGGTACAGTGCCACTGAGCTAAATCCCAGGCTCTAGGATCTCACTATGTAGTTCAGGCTGGCCTTGACTTCACTATGTAGCCTAGGCTGGCCTCAAACTCAAGGCAGTCCTCTGCCTCACTCTCCCAAGTGCTGGGATTACAGACCTGGCAGGGCTATGATTTCTGACAGCATTTGTACATGTGGCAAGATCCACAATGATGGGTTATTTGCATGACTTACTATTTTTTTTTTTTTGGAACTGGGGATCGAACTCAGGACCTTGTGCTTTCGAGGCAGGCAGCGGAACCACTGAGCTAAATCCTGGGCCCCTGCATGACTTTCTCTTTTAGACTGTGAGAACCTCTGGGAAAGTAAAATTGTGTTTGGGCCCCAATGATGTTTGTTGAATTATTTAGCAGAAGAGTGCATTCTAAAAGAAAAGAGGAAGCTGGGCATGGCACATGCCTGTAGTCCCGGTTACTTGGGGAGATAGGATCATGAGTTCAAACCCACTCTGGGCAGTTTGGAAACTCAGCAGAACCCTGTCTCAAAATAAAAAATAAGAAGAGCTGGGAGGGCCTGGCCTGGTGGTGCACACTCATGATCCCAGCACTCGAGGCTGAGGCAAGAGGATCGCTGAAAGTTCGAGGCCAGCCTGGGCTACGTAGTGAGTTCAAGTCTAATCTGAAGTACATAGTGAGACTCTGTCTCAAAAAACAAAAAATAAAAACAAACAAAAAAAGAGCTGGGAGTATAGCTCAATATAAAAGAGTTGAGTTCAATTGCCAGTATTTTTTGTTTGTTTGTTTGTTTTGTTTTTTAGTACCGGGGTCAAACTCAGGACCTTGCGCTTTTGAGACAGGTGCTGGAACCACTGAGCTAAATCCCTGGCCCCAGTGTTTTTTTATTTTTAAAGGGAGGTGGGCTGAGAATGTAGCTCAGTAATAGAGCACCCTGGTTTTGATCCTGTAAGTAAAAAAGAGGCCCTAGACCTGGTTTGTCATACTGGGTTATATATGCTCTAGTTGCAGGAGATCACATTTAAGAATTACTACACAGCCTTTTTGACCATCCGTGTCCGTCAGCATACCTCAGCACACACACCAGCTAAGTGGATGACCTGCCTACGAGACTGTTGTCTGATGCCTGATCCACACAGTGAGGATGGAGCCCAGGAGTATGTATCGCTATTCAAGCACCAGGTCAGCTGAGCCTCAGCATGGGAAGAGCAGCCCAGATAAGGACTTCTGAGAGACTTGGGGATTGGGCCAGTATACCAGGAGGTGGGGGAGTCAAGACTGACCTGGGCTGTGGCTCCCAGACAAGTGCCTTGGACAGAATACTGTTATTTCCTTCCTAAAGACCTGGGGAGGCAGCAGTTTGGCTCACTGCTGGTTGGGAGGTTCCTGGGCAGTGAGCTGGGGCTTTGGTGGGTCCTTGTGTATGTGTGTCAGATGCTGTGTGACATGACTAGAGTACTGGAGCTGCGTCTGATTCTGCGGCAGCCGTCACCACTGTGGCTGTCTTTCACAGTGGAGGAGCTACAAATCTACCAGCAGGGACCAAAGGTAAGTGACTAGCCCAAAGCTGTTGGTCCTTTCCTCAAGAAGCTTCCAGCTATGGCTGGGAGAGCTGAAGTAGTAGGGAGGTGATGGAGGAGAAGAGTGAGTTCATAAGGATGCCTTCATGCAAGTTAGCCAAATGTGAATGCTGAAAGCGCATGATGAGAGGTGAGGCTCTATCCTCGTACTGTCTGACCTTTGGATGCCACTCCCCACATTCAGAGCTGAAACCTTCAGGAGACGCTTTTACAGCTTATGTTCCTGGGGCTTTCTTCTACATAGCTGCAGAACTCAGTAGTCTGGGGCTTCTTCTATTGGCTTCCTGAACAGGATTTTCCCAATTCTGAGATCAGGACTCTTTTGGTTTCCCCCACTCTGCTTCACTTAGGACAGTATGCCTTTGCTTTGCAGAGCCCCTCTGTGACCTTTCCCAAGTGGCTCTCTCACCCGATGCCTTGTGAGCAGTCTGCCCTCCTTCTTGAGGTAAGTTCTCACCCTGGGTAAAACCCATGTGTGAATGGCTCTCATGTCCTGCACTGGCCCAGATGGTCCCCTTTCTGTAAAAATCTGGGGCTGGACCCCGGTTCCTTCGTCCATTTGTGCCATGATGGGTGTTCTGTGGGATTTCAGGAATCTCTGGTGTGGGGCTAGGTTGCTTTCTGAACATTCACAAGTCATCTGGGAGTATTGTGGTCTCAGCTGGAGGGATCCATAGCCTAGCTTGGTCTCTCTAGAATTCTAAGGGCAGTACTGGGGAGAGACCAATGGCCATTGACCCCTCCCTCTGGAGCAGGGTCTCCCAGACCCCAGCAGGGTATCCTCTGAAGTGCAGCAGATGTGGGCGCTGACAGAGATGATCCGGGCCAGTCACACCTCCACAAGGATCGGCCGCTTTGATGTGAGTTATCTCTTCCCTCTGCTTGGCTTGCATTGCCCTGAGCAGGTCAGACCTCATAGTCCTTTGTGTTACAGGTGGATGGCTGTTATGACCTGAACTTGCTCTCCTACACTTGAGCTGAGATTTTGGCCTTTCCCTGCCCACCAGACTTGGTTTGGGCCATCAGCGGCAGAAGTGTGTTCCCTGTGCATTCTGACTGTTGTCTGCATGGCCATTGTCTGGGCCACGTCCACAGATTCAAAATTCTAGGGACTTATGATGTTGCTTCAGCGTGAGTTCCTGGCAAGGGTGCATTCTTTCTTCACCTGGCTGCAACAGAATTCCTTCTACCCTAAAAATACTCCAGTTCTTTTTATTGAGTGCCCTCTGCCCATCTTGCCCACATGCACACCCCTGTCTTCTGTGGCTCCCCACCCTGAAGTGCAGTGAGCTGGACTGAACCAGTTCCATCTAACCCTCAAAGGCCACTGCTACCTTGGCACTGAGGAAGAAAGAGATGCCCTGTTCTTCCTCTGGGCCCCATAGCGGCCTTCTTTCTCTTTGTACTATGTCCACAAAAGAATTTCTTTTTTAAAACTTTATTATTTTTATTAGTACATATTTGTCATATATGTTGATCACATTCATCATAGGAAATTTGTACATGTATATAAAACATCTCAATTCTTCTTTTCACAAAAAGAAATTTCTTGTCTAAACTCTTCTGCTACTATCTGCTTAGGAAGCAAAGCTGGGATTTTTTTTTTTTTTTTTTTTTTTTTTGGTACTGGGGATCGAACTTGGGACCTTACGCTTGTCAGGCAGGCGCCAGAACCACTGAGCTAAATCCCCAGCCCCTAAATGATTTGCTTTTGGGGGGGGGGGGCGGGTACTGGGGATCGAACTCGGGTCCTTGTGCTTGCACAGCAGGCAGTGAAACCACTGAGCTAAATCCCCGGCCCAAAAGCTGGGATTTTGATAGCTGAGTTCCTAGGTCCCTGAGCTGGCTCTGGGATATGTGATCCATTGTGCCCGGGCAGGTGCCTGTGGCAAACCTAGGGTTTGAGCATGAGACCAGCAACCTTTCTGCCATCTGACCCAGCCCAAAGCACATCCATATCCTTTTCCCAATTTCTTAAGACATGCTCACTCTGATAAGAAATCAAGCTTGGGAGTAGATCTAAGAAGGGGTTCTCCTTAGTGTCTTTTGAAAGACTGATCCCCAACAGTATTCCAGGCCAACTACTGAGTGATGCAGGCTTCATGTGAGAAAATCCTGCTCCCCTCTGGTTCTTCCCGGCTGTGCCCCTGGGAAATTATGGAGCAGTACTGCAAGGTGTCTTGGTCCTGGAAAATTGGACATGTGTGTGGCTCAATAGCCACCCTTTGGTGTCTACCCTTTTCCCACCCATCAGCCTTGCAAGCTGGTATCTTCACCTGTGTGATTATTTACTGAGCCCTACTCTGCTTCTGCTGAAAGGGTGATAACCCTAAGTCCTGAGTTCAGGGAACAATGCTCCTCAGCGTGTGTGTGTGTGTGTGTGTGTGTGTGTGTGTGTGTGTGAGTGAAGAGGACCCTTGGTTGGCAGAGACCAGTGTCCACCAAGATTAATAAATATTTGTGGAAGCCAGGCATGGTGGTTCAGCTGAGGCAGGAGGATCATCTTGAGTTGGAGGCCAGCCTGGGCAAGATAAATCAACCCTGTCTCAATCAATGAATCAATCAATAAAATTTAAAAATCCTTGTGTAATGAATGTATGACTGTGCCGGCTGCCCGAATTTGCCCAGTGGTAAGAACTAGAGACACCCCACCCCCCACCCCCACCCCCCAAAAGAACTAGAGACCCCTACAGGAGGCCAGGCTACAGTCGTGTTCTGCCTATCCGGCTGGCTCCACCCTCCTGTAACCTCCCCACCCCCACCACATTCTGCCTCTTATCTGCCTGAGGTCCTGAATGTGTGATTCAGGCCTTTCAGCCCTTTGTGGGACTTTGGCCCTTTCGAGGCAGGGCAGTTCATTACGGAGAGGTCTGACCCCCAGCTCCTCAGCTCCGGTTCTGCCCAATCCACTCTGGACTACGTGAGTCGCCTGATTACCCTGAGGGAAGAGACAGAGGCTGTGGGGAATCCCTGCATTTTCTGCTCCAGGTCTCAGCCTGCCCTCGGGCTTCCCATCTCCTTCTCTAAACCTCTTTGTACTAGAGAGACGTGACCCACTAGTGGCTCGGACTACATCTCCCAGCGTTCCTGGCAGAGTGGTGGCCTGTGTGTGCCTTCTGCAGTTGTTGCAGGCACAATGCAGCGACCTGCGAGCTTGGCTACCCTTCTGGGCTTTCGCCGGCCAGCACTCCCTGCATCCCTGAGTCGCTCACTTAGTTGTGCACAGGTGGGATAAAGGGTGCTATAGGATTTGGTGCTGATCTTGGAGGGTGGGGGAGGGAGACAGCCACGGAATAGGGCCCAGTATGTAGTACTAAACACAGCTGCCTACAGGATGTACTCCGCAGGACTCCGCTCTACGACTTTCATCTAGCCCATGGCGGGAGAATGGTGGCATTTGCAGGCTGGAGTCTGCCTGTGCAGTACCGGGACAGCCACGTGGATTCGCACTTGCACACACGCCGGCACTGTTCGCTCTTTGACGTGTCCCACATGCTGCAGGTGAGCTAGGGAGTGCCAACTGCTGGTCTGGACTGCCTTCTGTCCACAGCACTGCACATTTCTGATTTGCTTGCTGAGAGCTGGATTTTGAAGACAGCCTTCTCAACAGGGGCTGGAGATCTCCCGGGTGTTGTAGACAGATTACAGCGCCAAGGAAATCGCAGGCTAACTTGAGTCTCTCCTGCCTTCTGCTAATAAGCCACATACCCTAATGTCTTGTGTTTTCCAGAACCGATACTTTTCATCCATCCGGGTGGGTATAAATGGGAAAAGGGAGTATTTCAGTACACTGCTAAGTTCTTAGACCTCAGCCACTCACAGCCTAGGCTGGGAGATGTGGGGAAATCCAAAGGTGGAGCTTCTGTTACCGATAGAACCAACACTGGTCAGTCACCTCTGGGCTGGACTGGACTGTGGATGGCAGGGAGGGCAACTGCTTGCTCAGTGGCTGAAGTAGCCTGAAGCTCTCCATCTCTTCCCCAGACCAAGATCTTTGGTTGTGACCGAGTGAAGCTGATGGAAAGTCTAGTGGTTGGAGACATTGCGGAGCTAAAGCCAAACCAGGTGGGCTCTTTCATTTCTGCTCAATGGGTATTTTCAGTCAAGAGCCAGCAAGGGAGACAAGTCACTGCCACAAGCTTGAGGGCAAAGCATTGGGTCAGACACAGCTTCTCAGGGCTTACTGTATTGAGAGATAAGAGTTCTTGGGTCATTTCCAGAAACCTAGCCAAACTGGCTACCCACATCAAACTGGGAGACCAGAAACCAAGGTCTATGAACAGTCCTCTGAATTTTCATGCTGCCTACCTCCTGGCTCTTCAAAGTGTAGCCCTAAACTAGCAGCCTCACTGCCTCCCAGGTGCTTATAAAGAATGGAACTCTCAGGTACTGCTTTAGATCTGTAGAATCAACTTTCATTTTAACATACGACTCATGTGACCTCCCAGTCTTGCAACTTGCACAGCCTGAGCCCTATTCGTGGGGGAATTTGTGAGTTGGTGGTGACTGAGTGAGTCCAGGGGTATGTCAAACTCACCCTTGGCCTTGCTCTCTGGACCTGGGGCAAAGATGCTACACTTTAATGCTAGGGGACATTGTCGCTGTTTACCAATGAGGCTGGAGGCATCTTGGACGACCTGATTGTGACCAATACTTCTGAGGGATACCTGTATGTGGTATCCAATGCTGGCTGCTGGGACAAGGACTTGGCCCTCATGCAGGTACAGCCCATTCATATTTTAGGCACTTTGTCTTCCTATTCCTAAGGCAGCATTCTAAAGCAGCAGGTTGTCCAGGAGAGACTTGGAACAGGTGAGGGGCTCAGAAGATGACTTAGTGAATGAACTGCTATGAGACTTAAGAGCAGATCTTCCTTAGAACATGCCAGCCTTTGGTGGTAGGGAGGTAAAGTTGATCCTGGCCCCTAAGTGATCGTCTTATTTAATTTTTTGGTACCGGGGATGTAACTCAGGACCTTGCACTTGTGAGGCAGGCACGGTGCCATTGAGCTAAATCCCCAGCTAAGTGATCATCCTTTTTAAGAGTGTGAGAGATATGTCTTGGGCTTAGGTTATACCTACCATTCAGCAGCTGTTGTGACCTTGTAAGATGAGAACCAGTCCACTGTCTTATGGCTCAGCCCTGCAGTATCCAGCACATGGCAGGTGGTCAGTAAGTGGTACTATACCAGACACTGATGTGATGTTTCTGTCTTTCCTTTCAGGACAAGGTCAGGGAGCTTCAGAGCAGGGGGAGTGATGTGAGCCTGGAGGTGGTGGATAATGCTCTGCTAGCCCTGCAAGGTGAGATGGTTAGGCAGGAGTTGGAGCCAGCTTTTGCCTTCCTGGCTTCATCTACTGCTTAGCCCAGAAGCTATTCTAAGAAGAAGGCATAGATGGTGTGATATTTGTGTGCTATAATTCTAAATTAGGTATCCCGTGCCCCCCACCCCCTCTTGCAAAGTTCCATTGAGTCCATGACCTAGGGGGGAAGGACACCTTTTTCCACTTGCAGAGAAGGACTTGCTCAGAACTTGTTCTGGTCCCTGAGAAAGGGCTATAGTCCAGTTTTGAGGAGGTGCTGGGACCAGGATGCTTGGTCACTGGCTTCCTGGACCTAGGCCCTGCTGCAGCCCAGGTGCTACAGGCTGGTGTGGCAGAGGACCTGAAGAAACTGCCCTTCATGACGAGTGCTGTGATGGAGGTGTTTGGTGTATCTGGCTGTCGAGTAACTCGCTGTGGCTACACAGGAGAGGACGGTGTGGAGGTATGTCAAGTAGGTATAAAGGGGGCTGGGGATTTAGCTCAGTGGCACTATGCCTGCCTCACAATTGCAAGGTCCTGAGTTTGATCCCCGGTACTGGGGAAAAAAAAGTGGAATAGCAGGACACAAAACTCTGGGGGCAACTGCCCACTGCGCTCTGGTTTTCCTTGTAGATTTCAGTGCCAGTAGCTGGGGCAGTCCACGTGGCAATGGCTCTGCTACAAAACCCAGAGGTGAAACTGGCAGGGCTGGCAGCCCGGGACAGTCTTCGCCTGGAGGCAGGCCTCTGTCTATATGGAAACGACATTGATGAACATACCACACCTGTGGAGGGCAGCCTCAGTTGGACATTGGGTGAGCTGGACTAGTACTCATGGGATCTTCCTGGAGGTTGGTGTGAACTTTAATGAGGACAGCCAACCTATGACTGCTCTTAAGTTTGTGTAGGCTAGAGAAAGTTACTAAGCTTCCCTGAGCCTCCATTCCCTGAAGGTGCCCCTGTGTTTTTGCTGTTATAAATTAGGGACCCTCAGCATGGCTTCTAGGGGTGGGAGGTAGTTGGATGACTGCAGTACAGGGAAGGAATAAAGCTTCAGGGAGCTCAAATGAAGGGGTCTTTGTACGTGAACCTGGGTCCTGAGCCCTATGTTGGGACACCACTGTGGCCGACCACTTGGCTGGCCTTGTTCCTTGTTCCAGGACCTAGACCCACTACTTTGTTCCCCCTGACCCAGGAGTGAATGAGGATGAATGACAAAAAGACACAGAGTCAGTTTAACATTCAGGCATCCAGGGGGCTCTTGGCTCTTAGTAGGCAGAGGACTCACTTCCCCAAACTGACTCATCTTACCTTTTTTGTTTTGTTTTTGGTACTGGGGATTGAATTTAGGACCTTGTGCTTTCAAGGCAGGCACAGTGCCACTGAGTCAAATCTCTGGCCCTGACTCATCTTACCTTTATTCCCCCAAACTCAGGCACAAGCAATCAGAGCAACACAAGATTCATCTGCTTTCCAATACCATTCATATATACTCTGATAACAACTTAATCTCAGGTGTCTTAAGTTTTCCCTAGACCCTGTAATATATAATCACCCCTGAGTGCAGCCTTTCTCCTTTGTGCTCACAGAGGCCAATTAGGCCTCAATTCTCCTCTGGTCTCCAATAGCCCATGATGTTTGATGGATGTTACTTGGGGTCCTCATAGGTAGGGCCTTCTGTGGCCAGGGCTTCTTGGGCTGGGACTTAGGCCTGGTGTATCATGCCCTAGGGAAGCGCCGCCGAGTTACTATGGACTTTCCAGGAGCCACGGTCATTGTTCCCCAGCTGAAGGGCAAGGTGGAGCGGAGGCGTGTGGGGTTGATGTGTGAGGGGGCCCCAATGCGAGCACACAGTCTCATCCTATGCACAGAAGGCACCGTGATTGGTAGGTAGTTCAAGGACGCTGGAAACCCTTGTCCCTTCCCTAAAAGGGTGGGGGCATTGGGCTGGTAGGATGGTGTTGATACATGGCCTGTTGTTGGATAGGTACTGTGACCAGTGGCTGCCCATCACCCTGCCTGAAAAAGAATGTGGCGATGGGTTATGTACCTTCCAAGTACAGCCGGCCAGGGACACAGTTGCTAGTGGAGGTGCGGCGAAAGCAGCAAATGGCCATTGTCAGCAAAATGCCCTTTGTGCCCACAAATTACTACGCTCTCAAGTGAAGATGGCAGGGGCAGGGGCCTCCCCTCCAGGAGTCTTGCCCTGGGACACATTCTACAGAGCTTAGTCAAGACAAGGCAGAATTATCTGAGGGGCAAGCAGCTGAGTATAGGTTGGCCTATTCCCAACATAGGCTCCTCTAACTCTAAGACCACATTTCTGGTTGACAGACCAGCTTACTCAGTGCCCTGTTTCTGTCCCTGATTCCACCGATCCCACTCTGCCAGGTGCTGCTGTGGAGCAAATGCTCACCTTTGTGAGTGGCTAACATCTGGCCAACCGACCTCACTATGGTTTCTCACCTTTCAAAGATGGTCAGTATAGCCTTACGCCATCTCCTCTACTTTGCTTTCCATGAATGCAAACTGTGACCTCTTCCCAGGACAGGAATGATTCCTGACTCACCAGAGCACTGACTCAGTTATTCCTATGTGTAAACAGGGACAGCTGAGATGTGGATTCACTCTTCTGCATTCCCATTGCCTTCGCCTGCTGCCCAGTAGCAAATCATGGCATGCTTGCCACCTGGGCTGACTTTGCCCCTGGGGCCTATAACTGGACTTTACTGACTCCAGAAAAAAAATTAAACAAGATTCCTTCCTTCTTACTTGGAATGGTCTCTAGCTTCATTGGTCTTTGTCTACAGGATTCTTGAGATATCAACCAACCTGTTGGCCTACAATACAAGCTTAAGAGTAGGTTCCTTTTGTAGGCCAGGTCTGTAAGAAACAACAAGGGGACTGGGGATGTAGATCAGCAGGAGGAACTTGCTAGCATCATGGGCAAGGCCCTGGGTTCAATCCCCAGTACCACGAAAAATCAAAACCCAAACCAACAGGGATATTGCCCCTATTGAACAGCCCCCCACACACCACTCCTCCAGGGAGCTGGCATCCACTTTCCACCTTTGCAAACCATTGCATTTTTGCTCCTGAAGGGCAGTAATCTTCAGGATATTCCCTCACCAGCTGCCTTTGCACACACACTTGTCCTTTTTAAATAACCACACAACTGATGCACTTCTGTGTTTAATAAGCCATACTTTCAGTTGTGCCTGGGTAAAATGTGAGCCCTTGATTCTATGTGGTGGTGTCAGTGGGTGGGCCTGGGGACTTCCAGTGTACCTCTGCTGCAATCTGCCAAGGCAAAGGGTGCCAGATGGGGATATGTGACATCTAACGAAGAAGCAGGCAGTTGGACACTTAGGTAGCAGATGGCCCAGCAGAGGTAGGCAGCAGGACAGCCATTAGAGAGGAGGTACATCTAGGGCCACAATGCTTTCAGGAAGCAGTGTTTCTGTGGAGACATTTGCCACCCACTCCTTTGAAATATCTTCTGCCCATTACAAAGGGTCGAGGGCTGCCTGGCCTGTAGCTCTTGCATGTTGAGGGCTCTTAGGGGCTGAGACAGTGCTAGTGGGCTCTCAAGATAAGGACTCTGTTCCAAAACAAGATGGGAAATGGTAAGACTACGGTGCATGATGGAGCCACTTTGCACTAACTGCTTCGTACCTCCCTAGGAGGGGGCAGGGTACAGACCCAAGGCCCCAAGGGCACTTAAACAGTAGGGGTGGGAGTCCCAGGGACTCAGCTAGTGGGCTCTGTCTCTTTCAGACACCTTGCTTTTCCCTGAGGACAGAGAAATATGAGACAGTTGGGAAATGATAATCTCCTTTGCCTGGCTCATACGGGGAGCTCTGTTTGGGTCTGGAAGGTGGATGTTTGGTGCCTCCATCTGGATGATGCTAGCAAGGACAACTTGTCTTATACTTCAGTAGCTGGCTAAATAAACATGGAGTAAGCCTAGTCCAGGCCAGATTACTTGGCTCCCTGACAACCAAGTAAAACCAAAGAAATTCAGGGTTTAGGCAAGAACAGACTTTCCTTACAAATCCCAGAACTGATCAACCTCAGGCTTCCTCTCAGAGAGACAAATGTGTATGTGGTCATATCCCAGGAGGATAAGAAGGGAGAACAGGAAAAAGTCAAGACAGAAAAGGGACTGTGGGCCTCCTCGACACAAGGCTTCTCCTGCGCTTTGACTCCTGAGAGAGAAGAAATATGTTTTCTCTCCTTAAGAGTCCTAGATTAGGGTAGAGGCAAACTCTTCAATCGCCCAGTACCTGGGGCTATCGGAGCCAAGGCTGAAGGCTATGGAGGCCCAGGCCTGTAAGCACTGGGGTATTCCCTGACCCAATTTTGGGCACCTTGCAGTCATTCTTGGGGTCTGAGCAGCAGCAAGACACTGTAGGAGCATGCTGGCACACACCTGTAATCCCACCACTTGGGAGGCTGAGGCAGGAGGATTGTTGAGTTTGAGGCCAGCCTGGGCTACACAGTGAGTTCAAGGCAAGCCTGAACTACACAGTGAGACCTTGTCTCAAAAAAAAAAAAAAAGTGTAGGATCCAGCTCTCCCAGTGATGCCTCTGGAGACCTTTCTGCTGCTGCATTCCCTTATTCTCTGTGGGTTTTGAGAAGTTCATTTGCTGCCATTTCCCTGAAAGTGATGGAGAAGAAAGAAAGATTATTTCATAGTCAGCAGAATAGCTTCTGAGACTAGCTCTCCCCAACTCTCCTATAATCTATAATCTAAATCTCTTTGCTGATCTCCCACACCCCTCTGTGGGCCCCCTATTTCCTCCCTATATATCTGTTTCTGGTTCTCCACCTTATAATGCTGCCACCCTTTCCCAGTTGCCTAAGATAGAAAGCTGGGCAGTAGCAGTCTTTCTTTTTTTTTTGGTACCAGGGATCGAACTCAGGTCCTTGTGCTTGTGCAGCAGGCAGTGAAACGACTGAGCTAAATCCCTGGCTCTGTGTGGCAGTCTTTCTAAATGGCCATTTGCCTTTACTCTTGGACCCCTTTATCTACCTGCCATTAAGCAGGCAGTTATAAAGGGGAATTAGATCAGGCTAAAGCCTTGCTGAGTCTGTTTATGCTTTCATGTTCAAACTTCACCATCATACCCTTATCTCTTCTTCCAATATGTCACCCTTGTCCTTTCCTATGGGTATTGTTCCATCCATTTCCCCTGCCCAGTACACTATGCCATCTCCTGGCCTGGATCTCAGTTTAGGTGCCATGGGAAACAGTTTCCAGATGACCCTTACCCTTGCACTGCTTTCCTCTCCTTATAAATCTCTTGCTTCCCCTGTGAGCAGGGCTTGGGTTGTCCTTGTTCTTTGGGCCTAGTGTGGCATCTGCCATGTAGTAAAAGTTCAGGGACTACTGAATGAATGCCTTGATTAGTGAAGTTTTGTTTGTTCTTTCCTGTCCTGGGGATTAAACCCACGGCCTTTGCACCAAGCTACATATCGCCCCCCCGCCTTTTGAGATAGTGTAAGATAGTGTCATGCTAAGTCATTAAGTTGCCCAGGTTGTGCTCAAACTTGTGATCCTCCTGTCTCAGCCTCCCAGATGAGTTCTTATTTTACAGATGAGGAGGTAATTCTGATGAGGTATGTTAAGAAGAGAGGCTCTTAGGACTTGGGGTATATCTTGATAGTAAACCAACTCTTGCCTTTCCAACTGATGGGCTTGCCCTCAATAGATCTGCCTCTGCATTTCTGAAATGACAATACTCTACCCACTCCCAAAAGTTGCCAAACAGCATGCCAATGACTCTTCAGACACTGGTGTCACCCCCAACTTGAAGCCTAATCTCTACATGCAGACTTGGAAGATGTTGCAAAGGCCACTACATACTCTGAGAATTTCCTTGTCTGTAATCACAATAGTGTACACTGTCTGACACGCATGAAGTTGAGGTAGGGACAAATTTACTCACCACGAAGGGAAATGTGTGGAGCCATCAGGCGTGGATCCATTCTGGCCACCCAGACCTGGAGGCAGGAACACATTCAGAGCTGAAGCTGGGGGTGGGGATCTGAGCAGGGATCAGCTCAGGTTAGGTTAGGGGCCACTAGTATTGTTCGGAAGAGCGTGTGATAGGGTCCTAACGGACTACTGGTTTTGTCTGTCGAGGGTTCTGAAGAACAGCTACAATGTGATAGGTGGACTGGTGGGGATTCTGGTATAAAATGTTATAGTGACAAGGTACAGCGTCCTGAAAAGGCTCTGGGGGGAGCAGTGGTATAGTCTGTTTTCTGGAGAATCCAAAGGTACAAACTGGTAAGGGTAGAGACGGCCAGCTCACAGAGGTTCGTAGGGAGCCTCACCTGGGCGGTGATACAACCCGGTCACCGTGTTCCCGTAGAACCCCCACGCCAGCTGGATGCCCAGGAAACTTAACACCAACCACAGCAGTAGCAGCTTGAAGAGGGTCACGCGCATGTCCTGCGCCTCCCACTCCCGCAAGAACTCGCTGCCCAGGGCTCCCAGTGCGGCCACCACAGTTGCGGGCAAAGCCTGCAAGTACTGCCCAAACCAAGGTTCCGCCATGATTGGTCCGCGCCTCATCAAAGACAGTCACCCTAGTCTCCACTGCGCAGGCGTATGGTCTTCCTGGGGCTGGTCCACCAGTGCGCACGCGTAATACCAAACAAGGAGGGTCTACCCCGTTCTCCCTAAACGTTGGCAGTTTGGGGCGGAGTATTGGCAGTACGCACGCGCACCTAACTCCACCCTACTTAATTAAAGGATGAATGACTCGCGGAGTACAAAATAGCAACCCGGCCTTTTATAGTCCCGGAGTTCCCGTGATACCCCACGCGGCTGCAATGATTGGTTATGCGTCTTTTAGGGCGTGGACTTGCTCCTGAGCTATCGCTGCTGAACTATGAGTGCGCGCGCGTGCGCGAGGACGCGACTGGCGCTGGCTCGAGCCCGCTGGGCTCTCGGGGGCGTGCACGTCGCTCTCCGCCCTCCCGCCACCGCCCGCCCTCGCTCGCTCGCTCGCACGCCCAAGCCCGCTGTCCTCCGTCGGTTTTCTCGTTAGTCCGCCTTTGACTCCGGAGCTATCCGGTCTACACTTCGAGCTTGCGACTCGCGGACCGGAGTCCTCGTCGTGAGGCCAGACTGGTCGTCGCCTGAGGTGAGCAAGAGGGGTCCCTCCAGAGCCGCAGAGCCCCGGGTTCGCTTGGCCCGCACTTTTCCGGCCACCCGCCCGGCGCGGCCGCGCCCCACCTGCTGCTCGCGCCCGGCCGCCCCTGCCCCCTGTCCCTGGCCCCTGCCTCCTGGCTCTGACTCCGACTCCGGGCCAGGGCCCTACGTCCCGCGCCCCGCGCCGGCGACCCCGCCCGCGCAGTCCCCGGAAGCGCGCCCTGTAGTCTCCAGCACCCCTTCCCCCTCCCAGCCGGGCCTGCTGGAGCCCGAGCCGCCCGCCCCGCCGCTTCCTCCCTCTGCCGCGCCGGCCTAGGTGGGGGCTCCTGGGCTTCTGTGGAGCGCGCACACTGTCCGATTGCGGACGGGAGAGAAACTCTTCACAACTCCATTTTGCCTTTTACATTTCATGTGGAACGTGAATCGTCGTTTTGTACAGGTTGAAGACAGTTATGCTTTGGATAGATTTCCTTTTTTTTACGGCAGTATTCTTGGAGATTGTGTAAGTAAAAGATTATGGTGCAATCGTAGGGGTTAGAACTGCATTGGATGGAAAATGTATGTATCCAGTTGAAAAAACATTTTTTAATGACTTAAATGATGCTTAATCAAAAGTTACAATTCTACTTAGTCCTTAATTAGGAGTCGCTTAAACATCTGTCCTTAGTTACTAATTATCTTCATGAGAGTTACAAGTCGCCTTCATGAAATTGCACTATTTACACTCAAATAAATTTGGTTTTTAAGAAATATTTAGTACTTTATAGCGGGAAATTGGCATCCTTTTTGCCTCGGTTCGTTGTGCTTTTTAAAAAGCCCTCATTTAAAAATTTTTAACTGTTGATATGTGGGATTTTTTTTTTTTTTTGTCTTTTTGGTTGTTTGAAATAAACTTTTTTGCAGGTATGTAATCAGATTATATTTTCTGCCAGATCTGAAGGGGAAAAATACAGAAACAACCGAAACCCCCTCATATAAGATACTGTATGGGGTTAGAATTTTCCAGTCATTTAGTGTCACTGTCGAATGTGCAGTATGAACCATGTAGGTGATTGTCATCTTCAGCATGGCTAGATTGGAGGAGGTACTGTTTTGAGCACTTAAAAAAGTAGCATCTGAACTGAAAATACAAGACTATTGTTTTTTTCAAGACAGGGTCTTGCTACTTTGCCTGGGCTGGCCTAGAGCTCACCATCCTGCCTCAGCCTCTTGAGAAGTTGGGATTATAGGCCTGTACCACCAGGCCTAACCCAAAACTAGTACTTAATTTTAAAGAATGATTTATTGAGGACTTTTATTTGATGTTATCTCGATGTTCTACTTGTGTAAAGCAGTGAAGGCTGTTGGTGACAGAAAGTAAATGGGTACAAAAGATGGAACCCATGTGTGTGTGACTCCAGCACTGGGCAATACCTCCAGCCCTGGAACTTCCTTTGAATCAAAGTCTAGTGCTAGATTTAAAGTTTTTATTCAGGGCCAGGGATTTAGCTCAGTGATTTCACCACCTGCTGCGCAAGCGCAAGGACCCGAGTTCCATCCCCGGTACCAAAAAAAAAAAGTTTCTTTTCAAATAAAAACATGTATTGGAAGGAAGAAGACACTAGGGATAAGGCTATCAACCAATTTCTTCATAAACCTAGAATTTAAATTCTAAAAGGAATCTTTTAGGACTTACCAACCCCATTTGCAGGTGTGGAACTCAGTTCCATAGACTTAAAGAAATTTCCCAGGATTGTATATCTAGTCCAGAGTAGACCAAAACTACAATTTTCCCTAAAGTATTTTCCATGTAGTCCCAAACAGCTGGCTTAGAGTCAGCTAAAATTAAGTGATTCCAGTTTATCTAATGTTTTCTTCTTTTATGCCTTGCACATTGTGCATAGATGGAGAGAGTCTGAAAAATATATATGCCAAACAAATTTCAGTTCTTTACTTTTCACAGCACACTTCTGTCTGTAGCTGGATGGTCCTGCTATAGTCAGTTGAGGGAAGGAGAAATGAAGGTGTAGGGTCCCTTGCTGACCTTGTCCTGGCTTTGTGTTTGGCTCTTTGTGAAGGACCAATCCATGGGGAGGCCTAAATTCCCTGCTTCTTTCTTTTTTTGGTACTGGGGATCGAACTCGGCAGAAGTACTGAGCTAAATCCCCGGCCCTTTAAATTCCCTGCTTTGAAACCAGCATATTTAGGTTTGTCGAAAATGTGTTTTTTGTTTTGTTTTGAATTGTTGTGTTTTTGTTTTTGGCACAGGAGATCGAACTTGGGACCTTGCGCTTTCGAGGCAGGCGCCGGAACCACTGAGCTAAATCCCCGACCCGAATTATTGGGGTTTTTTTGAGACAGGTTCTCATTATGTAGCCCAGGCTGGTCTGGAACTCAGGGTGATCCTCCCACCTCAGCCTCCGTAGTGCTGGGTTTACCAGGCATGCACTACCACACTTGGCTGTTGAAAATGTTTTTGGGCAACTGTGGGTCCTTTTGCTTTGATTTAGGTTGGAATGAGTGGGAAACTGCATTTATCAAGTAAATAGTGGCCTGTGCATGTGTGTGTGGTAGTGGTTTTGTTCTTTTCATTGGCTTACTTTTGTTTGTTAACTCCTTTAAAGTTTATCCTAGTCATGTGGGGTTTAACTTATTAGAGTAAAAACAGATCTTAAGGTGCTTTTGAAGGAGTGGAGTCCAACCTGGGATGACAGGAGAGAGAAGGGCCAGTGATGTAGCTCAGTGGCACTGTGCCTGCCTGGCAAGTGCAAGGTCCTGAGTTCGATCCCTGGTACTGGGAGGAAAAAAAAGAGAGACAGAGAGAGAAAGATAGATTGTGTGCTACTTTAGGTCACCATGGGGTTTTGTGTGTGTGTGTGTGTGTGTGTGTGTGTGCCTGTGTGTGCGCAGTACGGGGGATTGAACTCAGGACCTTGCACTTAGGAGGCAGGTGCGGCACCACTGAGCTAAATCCCTGGTCCAGTGTGTAGGGGTTTTTTTTTTTGGCCAGTACTGGGGATTGAACCTAAGGCATTCATACGTTCCCAGCACTTTTTATTTTAAGACAGCTTCTAAATTGCCCAGGCTAGGCTCAAAATTACAATTGGTCCAGGTGTGGTAGCACACCCCTATAATCCCAGCACTTAGGAGGCTGAGGCCAGAAGATCTCTGCAAGTTTGAGGCCAGCCTGGACTACATAGTGAGTTGAGGCTAGCCTGAACTTCATATAGTGAGACCTTGTCTCACAAAAACAAAAAAATTACAGTTGGCCTCCTTAGCCTCCCAAAGTACTGGACTTACAGGTGTGTGCCACCATCTCCAGTTAACTTTTGGTCTTCTTAATTGTCCCAGAGAGCACAAGGGTTTATGTCAATTCTGTAAAACTGATATTTCAATTTCTAAGAAAGTTCATTTGGGTTTGATAGATTTCATGGACAGCACGTTGTATTTAATTGAATAATGGGTATGTACTGGTGATAATAAGTGGTATATAATCACTGGATTTAAAAATTGCCCATACAGGTGCAGTGGTGAGGCCTGTAATTCTAATGATTCAGCAGGCTGAGGCGGGAGGATCAAAAATTCCAGCTCAGACTAGGGCAACTTAATGAGATCCTGTCTCAGACTAAAAAAATAAAACGGGCTGTGGATGTAGCTCAGTGTTGTAGAGCACTCTGGATTCAATCCCCAGTACTACCAATGAAAAAAAAAAAGAGGGCCGGGGATTTAGCTCATTGGTTCTGCCGCCTGCCTTGCAAGTGCCAGGACCCGAGTTTGAGCCCTGTACCAAAAAAAAAACCAAACCAACAACAACAAAAAGAAAAAAATCCTCAAATGTCCTGTCATGTGTCATCCTGGTGCCCCCCCCCGCCCCGTATCTATGCAGAGCAAATGCTCTACCATTGAGCTTCATCCCCAGCTTTACAACTAACTATATTTTAAACTTGTTAGTGGTTTGGTTGGGGATTTTTTTTTTTTTTTTGGTACTGGGGATCTAACTCGGGACCTTGTGCATGTGAGGCAGGCAGCGGAGCCACTAAGCTAAATCCGTGACCCCTTAAACTTGTTAGTGGTAAGAATATATGTGTTGGCTGGGGATTTCGCTCAGTGGTTTCGCCACCTGCTGCACAAGCGAAAGGACCCCAGTTCGATCCCCCGTACCAAAAAAAAAAAAACCAAAACAAAACAAAACAAAAAACAAACAAAAAAGAGTTCTAGGCTAGCCTGAGCTACATTGGGAGTTTAAGGCCATCCTGGACTACACAGTGAGTCTGTCTCAAACAAAAAGGGAAATGTAATTTGATAAGGTAAGTCATTCAGATGTTCGCCATAGTATATATGTTAGAGATATAGGTGATCACTGTAAAATTCAAACTTTGCTATGGAGGGAAAGGTGCTAGGATTAAAGCCAGGGCCTTTGTACTCAGCTATATCCCCAGCTCTTTCTTTATTTTGAGACAGAGTCTCACTAAGTCATTAAGTTGCCCAGGCTGAGCTTGAAGTTTTGATTCCCTTGTCTCAGCCTCCCACAGTACTGGGTTTGCAGGTGTGTGCCCCCATGCCAGGCTTTGTTTTATTTTATTTGAGAGAGTGCTCTGTGCTACAGATTAGCTTTGAACTCACTGTGTAATTTATGATGGCTTCTAACTTGTGATCCTTCTGCCTCAGTCTCTAGAGCTTTTAGATAGATTACAGGCATTATACCATGATACTTGGTTTGAATTTTTTTTTTTTCTTTTGAGATAGGTTCTCCTTGGAGTGATTCTCCTGCTTCAGCCTCCCAGTGCTGGGATTATAGGCATGTGCCACAGCACCTGGCTAAGCCTTTTTTTCCCCTCCTTAAGCCTAGTCCTTTTTATTTAGTTTAGTTTTGAGACAGAGCTCACTAAATTGCCCAGCCTGGTGTTGCCTTTGAAGTCCTCCTGCCTCAGCTTTTCAGATGCTGGGATCATAGGTGTTTGCAACATCTGGCTTTTTTTTTTCTTTTTCTTTTTTTGAGACAGGGTTTTCTTA